ACTACCCAGGGCCCAACCACTAATTGTATAAGTCCTGCCCTTATTTATTTTACAAAAACGCAAGACCGTACTTCACATTTATCCAAATTAAAACTCCATCTGCCACTCTTCAGCCCACTGACCCAATTAATCAAGATCTCTTTGTAATCGTCGATAACCTTCTTTACTATCTACTCTACCACCAATTTTGGTGTCATCCGCAAACTTACTAAGCATGCCTTCTGTATTCTCATCCAAAATGTTTATATAAATGACGAACATACATGGACCCAGTACCAATCCCTGTGGAACACTGCAAGGTCACAGGCCTCCGATCCAAAAGACAACCCTCTGCCTCCTAGCATCAAACCAATTTTGTATCCAATTGGCAAGCTCACATTGAATCCCATGTGATCTAACTTTACTAACTAGTCTACCATGAGGATCTTGTCAAAGGCTTTACTATGTAAAAACAATGTCTACCACTCTGCCCTCATCAATCTTTTTGGTTACTTCCTCAAAAAACTCAATCAAGTTTATGAAATACGATTTCCCTAGCACAAAACCATGCTGACTATCCCTAATTAGTCCTTGCCTCTCCAATACATGAAAATCAGCTCTTTTAAAATCACCACAACTCCCCCACTGTTGATGTCAGGCTCACAGACCTATATTTCCCAGGCTTCCCCTTACAGCCTTTCTGAAATAAAGGCACATTAGCCACCCTCCAGCCCTCCAGCACCGCACCCATGGTTAGAGATGATTCAAATATTTCCGATAGGGGCCCCGCAATATCTTCCCTAACTTCCCTCAACATCCTGGGACACACTTGATCAGGTCCCAGAGATTTATGTACCTTTATGTTTTCTAAGACCTCCAACACGTCCTCTTCTGTAATGTGAACTGTTTTCAAAACATCAATATTTATTCCCCTTGAGTTCTCTAGCCTCCATTTCTTTCTCCACAGTAAAAATGAAATATTCATTTAGTACCTTTCCCAACTCCTGAGGTTCAATGCATAGGTGACATCACTGACCTTTAAGGGGCCCTATTCTCTCTCTAGATGCTTTTTGCTCTTAATGTACTTGCAGAATCTCTTTGGATTATCCTTAACCTTACAAGCTTCAAGAAATAAAAGCCAAGCTGTATGGTTTGGTGAACAGCATTTGGGGAATTGTTGGTAACTGTAGATCTCCACACATTGTGTTGCTTATTTACATTAGGATCTGCATACATGAGATCAGCTCAGGTTGTAGAGAATGACCCAGATTGTGTTTCACCCTCAGGACCAGGAATACAGTTGGTTAATACAGTGTCTGTTTGTCACTGGGAACAGGCTTTGAGTTCAGTTCAAGTTGATGGATGTAACACTCCTGTCTCCGTTGGCTATGAAAGGTTCTTAGAAATTGAACAAAGGAATTAATACACAACTTTCACAAGCAAAATGCTTTATTGTCAAGGTAATATTTTTAATGTGTAGTCCCTAACGTGATCAGAGAACCATGAATAGTTACAGTACAGAATTATGCCCGTCAATGCTGTTGTTCTGTGAAAGAGCAATGCAAGTAGTCACATTCCCCCTTGTCTGGAGTTCTGCATTTTTTTACTTCAGTCACCAGTCTAATTTCCTTGGCGAAAGTGTAATTGAAGCTCTGTCCACCCCATTCTAAGGCAGCACATTCCAGATCCTAACAACCTTCACTAAATGCCTTAAATTTATATCCTCTGGTTCCAGACTCTTCTGCCACTGGAAACAGTTGCTTTCTGATCAACTCTAATCTGACTCCTGATTAATTTAAGACAACCACAAACCATATAAGCAGATAAACAGGAGCAGAAATAAGCATTCGATCACTTGAGCCTGATCCCCTATTTCATAGGATGTTGGTTGATCTCACATCGACAAACCCACCTATGTTTTCACTCCCTTGCTTAACAAATAATCCATCTGCCTCTATCTTATAAATAATCAAGGTGTCTGCTTCCACCACCTTTTCAGCGAGCGAGTACCAAAGCTACACAACCCTGTGTGAGAAAAAAAAATCACTTTATCTGTTTTAAATGAATGATCACTTATTTTTAAACTGTCACTCCTAGTTCTAGATTCTCCCATAAGATCATTCATTCTCTTCACATCTAACCTTCAGGATCCTGGATGTTCCAATCAAGTTGCCTTTTTCACCTCAGGAGAAACTCCAACTGATATAAGCCTAGACTATCCAACCATTCCTTGTAAGGCAATGTGCTTATTCCAGTTATCAGTCTAGTAAATCTACTCTGATCTGCTTCCAACACATTTAGATACTTTCTTCCATAAGGTGACGAGTATTGTACACATGTGGGCTCACCAATACCCCGTAGAAATGAAGCATAACTTCACAAACATTTATATTCAATTCACTTTGCAAAATATTATAACATGCCATTAGCATTCTTAATTGCATACAGACTAGCTATTTGTGCTTTTTGCACCAGGACAACCAGATCCCTCTCAATCTCAGAGCTCAGTAAACTCAGCATTATAAGCCATTGAGCATCATTTTTTGCATTGCTGTTCTTTGTCCTTTCTTGGGATGTGAGTGTTATTCACAAGGCCAGGGTTTGTTGCCCATTCATAATTACCCTTGAAGTGAATGACTTGCTGAGTCATTTTGAAAGTTAGTTAAAACTCAACCACATTACTACTGAAAAGACCCATTTATGCCTACTGTCTGCTTCCTGGTAGCCTGCAACTTTTATTTGAGCCAATATATTGCCCCCTACATTCTAAGCTTGTATTTTCCACAATAATGTTTGATGTAGCACTTTATCAAATACCTTCTAGAAATCTAAATGCAGTATATGTAATGGTTTCCCTTTATCTATAGCATGTGTTACTTTCTCAGAGAACTCCAATGGATTAGTTAAACATTAGTTCATAAAACTATCCTGACTGTTTGATTACTTGAGTTCATCCAAATGCCCTGCTATAATTTAAATAACCGGTTCTAATGTTTCCTTATGTTTTGTGTTAGGCTAACTGACCTTTAGTTTCCTGCTTTCTGCCTCCCTCCCTTTCTGAATTACGGTGTTATACTTGCTATCACCAATCAGGACTTATGTGTGAAGAGAGATGGATTGGTGAGGAATATATTTGGAGTTTAGAAGAATGAGGAGGGTTTTTAAAGAAACCTATAAAATTCTAACCAGACTAGACATGGTAAATGCAGGAAGGGTGTTCCCGATGACTGAGGAGTCCACAATAAGGGTCACAGTCTAAGGGTACAGGGTATACCATTTAGGACTGAGGTGATGGGAATTTTCTTCACCCAGAGAGTAGTGAGCCTGTGGAATTCTCTTCACCAGAAAGTGGTTGATGGCAAAGCACTGAATGTCTTCAAGAAGGAATTAAGGCTAAAGTGTATTGGGAGAAAGCAGGAGCAGGGACTAAGTTAGATAATATTGGAATATTGTGTTCAGTTCTGGTCACCTCATTATAGGAAAGATGTGGAAGCTTTAGAGAAGGTGCAGAGGAGATTTACCAGGATGCCGCCTGGACTGGAGGGCAGGTCTTATGAGGAAAGGTTGAGGGAGCTAGGGCTTTTTTCATAGGAGCAAAGCAGGATGAGAGATGACTTGATAGAGGTGTACAAGATGATGAGAGGCATAGAGTGGATAGTCAGAGACTTTTTCCCAGGACGGAAATGACTATTATGACGGGGCATAATTTTAAGGTGATTGGAGGAAGTATTGGGGAGATGTCAGACGTAGGTTCTTTACACAGGGAGTGGTGGGCGTGTGGAATGCGCTGCCGGCAGTGGTAGTGGCGTCAGATACATTAGAGACTTTTAAGCGACTCTTGGATAGGCACATGGAGGATAGTAAAATATAGGCTATGTAGGGTAGTTTGATCTTAGCAGGGTAATAGGTCGGCACAACATTGTGGGCCGAAGGGCCTGTACTGTTCTATGTTCTTATATGCCAAGGTTATCTCATATCCTCTCTTTGCCTTCCCGATTTCCCTCTTAAGAATGCCCCTACACGCTTTATATTCTTCAAGAGATTCATTTGATCCCAGCTGTCTACATCTAATATATGATTCTTTCTTATTCTTGACTAGAACTTCAATATCTTTATTCATCATTGTTCCCTACTCTTACCAGCCTTACCTTTCGCTCTTAACAGGAACATAATGCCTCTGAATTCTCATTATCACACTTCTGAAAGCCTCCCACTTGTCAGTCATCCCTTTACCTGTGAACAGTCTACTCCAATCAACTTTTGAAAGTTCTTGTCCCATGCCATTAAAATTTGCCTTACTCCAGTTAAGAACTTAGACTTTTATGGAAGGCTTATCCTTTTCCATAACTATTTTAAAACTAATAGAATTATAATCACTAGTTCCGAAGTGATTTCCTGCTAA